AACAAGCCCTGGAAACAGCAACAAAAAAGCCCACGATATGTTTCTGATATGTGGATGACACCTTCACCATTTGGAGCCATGGAGAAGAAGAACTCAACAGGTTCCTGGACCATCTTAACAGTATCCACCCAAAAATCCAATTCACAATGGAAAAAGAAAATGAAGGAAGACTGCCTTTTCTAGATGTCCTAGTTATCTGCAAACCAGATCAACAATTGGGTCACACCGTCTACAGAAAACCCACACACACAGATAGATATCTACATAAAAACTCCAACCATCACACAAGTCAAAAAAGAAGCACCATCAAAGCCTTGGCAGACCGTGCAAAAAGAATCTGCGAACCCCACCTCCTCTCAAGATGAACTGAACCACCTCAACTGGGATCTCCAGGCCAATGGATACTCCACCTCAGACATCAGAAGAGCTGCAAGACCAAGAAAAAGCCACGAGAGTAAAGATGAAGATCCACCCAGAGGAAAAGTGTTCCTGCCATACATCAAGGGAACCACTGACCACATAGGGAAGCTGATGAGGAAACACAACATACAAACTATCTACAAACCCACCAAGAAAATCCAACAAATGCTACGTTCAGCAAAGGACAAGAGGGATCCTCTCACCTCTGCAGGAGTCTACCGTATACCATGCAGCTGTGGACAAGTCTACATAGGGACCACCAAACGCAGCGCCCAAACACGAATCAAGGAACATGAAAGGCACTGCAGACTACTTCAACCAGAGAAGTCAGCCATAGCAGAGCACCTGATGAACCAGCCTGGACACAGCATATTATTTGAGAACACAGAAATGCTGGACCACACCAACCCACCATGTCAGACTACACAGAGAAGCCATTGAAATCCACAAGCATGTGGACAATTTCAACAGAAAGGAAGAGACCATGAAAATGAACAAAATCTGGCTACCAGTATTAAAAAAACCTCTAAAATTACAACAGCAAAACAGCAGAGAGGAAACAACCAGGCACATCTTAATACCTCTCAACAAAAGATTTTCCCAGGCTCAGCCAGGCCTTCAAATGCTAATGAAGGTGGTCAGTTGAAACATTCACACCTAGCTCCAGCAGAGAAGAGCTCTTTGCCCCACCCCAGCCATTCCACAGATATATAAACCCATTGTCCTAATTCCAACAGACCTCACTACCTCTGAGGATGCTTGCCACAGATGCAGGCGAAACGTCAGGAGAAATGCCTCTAGAACATGGTTCTCAACCTGTGGGTCCCCAGGTGTTTTGGCCTACAACTCCCAGAAATCCAAGCCAGTTTACCAGCTGTTAGGATTTCTGGGAGTTGAAGGCCAAAACATCTGGGGACCCCAGGTTGAGAACCACTGCTCTAGAACATGGCCCTGTAGCCGGAAAAAACCCACAAGAACCTAATTTGGAAGTTCCTTGAGATAGATAGATAGATATATAGATAGTGCAAATTTGCAAGAAACAGACTGTTGCTCTCATACTACATTGTGCATTCCTGTATAACCAAGGAATACACCCTGTGTTGCCTTGACATAATTACATATTCATGCCAACCTTTTATTTGTTACACTGATTAGATGCCATTTTGCTTTATTGCAAAACTTGCTGGCTTAATTTATTGTTTCAACAAGGGCCAAGAAAATACTGCTCTTGTCTTCATTATTTGTATTGGTCATAGGTCACCTTTTGTTCTTCTGCAATGCAATTTGTCTTCTGTGTTGACAGAGTAGCATCTATTTTGCTTATGGCAAACAGTGACACATGCAGATGGGACACATGTCCTAGTTTACTGTTACAAATGAAAATTTCAGATTCTACACCCAATGAAGCATTTTCCTTCTAACAAAATATTGAATCAAGAGATCAGCACTGAATACTTGCCTGAAGACTGGCCCTTCTTTTGCTCACTTGAAGCAATGTCCTGAAGCTCCTGTAGCACTAAGTTGATAGCAATGTGGGTTCATAAGTTAGCAGCAATTGTATTTTTAAATGTTTTCATATTAACCTCTGAGCTGGAAAAAAATAACAAATCATGGGGAAAAATCAATTACTGATGACATTATCTTTAATTTTGTAGTTGCTGTGTCCTAAAAGTAACAAAACTTTAGAAATGTATGTGCATATGGCCAAGAGCTACAGTTCATGAGTCTTGCCCACATAATCATATCCCTCTCCATTCTTAACTTTTCAGGTATTACTTCCCATGGGCTTACTTTGTACAGAAAGCTGCTTGTAGAAGCAGTATAGTACAACTAATATGGGTTGTCTCCTAGGGGTTTTTGGTAGAAAACCTAATTTGGACTACATGAGTACAAGAACACTATCTAGATCAGTGCTTCTCAACCTTGGGTCCCCAGATGTTTTTGTCCTACACCTCTCAGAAATCCCAGCCAGTTTACCAGCTGTTAGGATTTCTGGGAATTGTAGGCCAAAAACATCTGGGGACCCCAGGTTGAGAACCACTGATCTAGATTGTGCCATATTCATTATGTCTAAGAATTAAATTCTTTTACAAATTTGCCTTTGTGACCAATTGAGTTTTGCTTGTGTAGCTGAAATAATACTTTCTTACACTGAAGTGGAAAGATGTTTAATTTTATCTAAATTAGTTAAGATCAAAGGAGTACTGCTGTATCAAACTAAAGGTTCCTTATCCCCCATAAATTCTTTTGATGCTAAAAGTCATACCCTTTGCTTTCAGAGGAGTTGTATACATCCTTTCTTCAAGGTGTTGTTCTTCCATATGGCATTACTGTATATTCTAATTGCTCAATTGCCATGTAAAACATTGATTATGCCAGTGTAGACTATTTTTACACAAAATATTATGTTGCATCCTTTCCTGAATGTAATAACAGTATACAAGAATCTTTGAATGCCTTCTAGGCACCATGAGTTCCCATTCATATCATTTTATATATTACAGCCATACCTCTGTATCCATAGATTTTGCATCCACCAATTCAATCAACCAAAACTAAAAGTATTGTTTTAAATCCCTCCCAAAACCATCGATTTTGTCATTTTATATAAGGAATGCCAATTTACTACATTGTTAGATATGTTGGGACTTGATTATCCATGGAAAATCCTGGAACCAAATCCTAGTAGTACTGAGGGCCCTGTACATGTTTTAGTTGAAGAAAAAGAGAGGGGAAACCCCTGCATAACCACAATAGCACAGGAAGGATATGATACTATATATATATTTATTGTTGTAGGTTTTTCGGGCAGTATGGCCATGTTCTGGAAGCATTCTCTCCTGACAATCTCTGATTCTCACAGCCTCTGAGGATGCCTGCCATAGATGCAGGCGAAATGTCAGGAGAGAATGCTTCTAGAACATGGCCATACTTCCCAAAAATCCTACAACAACCCACTCCTGTAATAAATTCTAGAAAAAATGTCAGTAGAGAATTATAGTACTATATTGAAAAATCCATTCTGGAATTGAATGTATGTATGATTTTTTTTCATTGTAGATTTAGCTGTTACTAAAACATAACAAGACTAGATTAAATCTATGCAATTCAACATTTCTATAAATGACATAATTCCTTTTGCACCAAAGACCAGTTGGCAGCCATTCGATTCTGTGCTGGTTTCTCCTTCTGAAATGCTTGGCTGAGCAATATTGGTATCATTATCTCATTATCTGTTATCAGAATGGTTGATAATGTATTACATAACCTGTTCCCTCTCCCAACATGTGGAAGTTTATTTTTCAGTTTTGTGTCATCATATAGAGCCTGAGGCCCAAAGTACCCCCCCCCCCATTATTTGCTAGTTTTGCTTCGAAAATGTTTACTTCTGTTGCACTATGCTCCCCCCCCCATTATGTTTGAACAAAAGAATCATGACTTAATGCAGTCCACGACTTCGCCATTTGCAAATACCTCTTGAATCTGCGTTTAAAACCATGCATTGTTTTTCAGTTCTCACACACTTGTATCTCAAGGTTTTAGTGGAAAATTGTTAGTACTCAAGCTTTGTGTATACAATTTCCCCCCTTCTAACTAGATCTGGATTATAGCTATTTTCTTTATTAGATACTTAATATACCCTTTCCCTCAGTTCATAGGCTTGATTCAATGGATTCTAGAAAGTATGCCAATATTACCTGCAGAGATTTACTTTTTGGTGGGCTTGCTTGTAACAGTTTAGTAGATAGGAACAAGAGATAGGGCTTTCTTTCCAGTAGCTAAAATTTGAAAATTGAACCTACAGGTTTCATTAATATTTTTTGTGCCTAGTAAAACACTTTTCTTTGCCTAGACCAGTTGTGATGAACAATATTTGTTCTCCTTTTTTTAAAAACTGGTTTGGATTTTAATTTGAATTTGTAATTTCAAATTGGTTCTATAAATCTATCATAATAAACCTGAGATATTAATACTTCAGATTTTTAAGTTTCATTTCACTTCACTGAAGCCTTTGTAATTTTGTTCAAAACTGCAGCTCTCTGGCTTGTACACTTTAGCAGGTAGACAACCATAGATAATGCCTTGTTTTTCTTCCTTTTTTGTTTCCTCTGCACTGCTCTTATAATTTCACATTTGCTTGCCACCCTTTCCCTCTCAGTCTTACAAATTAGTCTGCGGTTTAGCATGTAATCTTTTGTGTGCAGTAGTTTTTTTTTTCAAAACAACTAAAAGCAATGATCTCTTAAATTGTCGATTTTTCTTGCTCATATAGAGGCTTTGCTGAGGGTGTAGGCTTGGTGCTCATTTATCCTGTTTAAAAACAAAAAAGCGACATTTTTCATAGTCAAGGAATTTGATAAGCGTTTTGTGGCTGGGTGGAGATCTCTACAGAGATATAGTATCACATCCAAGCTCTTGTGCTTTGCATTGCAGTGAGATAAATTCACACGGAATAAGCGTTAGGATTTTACTAAAATATTCTGAATGTTTGATCTGATGTGCTGATTAATGTCATCCATTTTAAGATGATTAGTTAGAACCAATGCGTTCAATTAATGCATTCTTACATGTTTTCTCAGGCTTATGGCATGTCAGCTTTGCCTCTAAACCTTATAAAGGGGACAAGAAATGCTAGTTATGAACGCTTGGAAAACACTGAAGATATTGAGGAAGTGGAACAAAATATACAAAGAATTAAATCCAAGGTTTGATGCTGTTTTGAAACATTATTTGATTTTGTGGTCTGTGAAACTCATTTAATTTTTATCAGTCCTTGTCAAAGTAGTGGGAGAGGATATCCCTTAAAATTAGGTATGATCTCAAAGAAATTGCAAAATCTTCCCATTTGCAATTAATCTTAATTATTGACTTATGCAGGTTCTTTTTTTAATAAAATAGTGATGGAATTTTTAATACATGTCAATATTTTTATACATGCATGAGGGTCAAATGCACAAGTGTTCATTTACTTTGGATTGGTACAACTTTTTTGGCCATGATAACTGGGTCATCGCTCTTCAGTTAGAAAATCGGTATTTTTGTACTTGCTTGCCCAAGCAGAACAGTGTTTTAAAATGACGCTGATATGAAATTAGAACTGAATTCCAGTCCTGTAGCTTTTAACTGAATTAATTGTAATTCAATTTCTCATTCTTTTGTTTTACAAATCCTTGCTCTCCCAACCCATTAGTGCAAAGATGGTCGACCATTAGCAATTCGAGAAAGGCGCACATTGCAGCAACTTGAAGATAAGCTAAGAGGTCTTCGAAGGAGAGGACGGCGCCTGGAATATATTGAGAAGAGCTGTTGGACAAAGTTCTGTGGAGCCATGAGGCCACTAAAAGTAACTTTTTTTTGTCTCTAGCAGAAAAACAGTCTGGATGTACTAGTGTCTCCCTAAATTCATAATTACTTAGGACTGGAGGATGAGAGCTAGTTTGACTGAGCTGTTGGCAGTGAACAAGAGGAGCACAAAAGGGACAGCGCTTAGAAAGATTCATTAGGAGGAACATCTCAGACATCTCCATCAGTTCAAGTCTGCTTTGAGGCTTTGTTTAACTCTGTCTCCCATGCTGTACAACAGAAAGTATTTTGAAAAGAATTCAATTTTCCAAAAAGGTACAGGCTGAAATGTTCAACCCTGTAAGTGTTTTGGATTTCAGATTTTGAACTCTACATACATAAAATTGGTTCAATGTACCCATTGCTTGTGTATATTGAACCATCAAAAAGGAAAGGTATCACTATCCAGCTACTCATGTAGAAAATTTGGATTCTTTCCTCTTTTGGTACAGAATAAAGCTTTCTTTCTATTTTTTTCTACTTAGCTAAGTCCCTTCTGCATTCTCTAAATTATTGCCTACATCTTTTATCCATTTCCTTCTTTATCTAAAAAACCACAATTTTTCTCAACTACATGCTGCTTCCTCTTTTTCCTTCACTGTCTTCTTCTGCTCAGTGACTCCAGCAGGGAACTTCAGCAGAAAGGCTGCTTAAAAAGATTACTAATTTTGGAATCTCAAGGAAAAAGCAAATGAACCAAAATGGCCCTTTATTCATTCAGGAGAAGAAAAATCTAACAAGCAATAAACTCAATTCATCTACCTGGCCAAGCTTTCATTTTCTTGCAATTTCTCCCTGCCCCCAGTGAAGCTTTCATTTTCTTGTAACTTCCATTCTGACTGTTGCTGAAAAGGAGGAAATGCTAGCCATTCTGCCACAGGTAGAATTTAAATTCTGGTGCTTACTTGCAAAACTTAGGTGCCCTCCTTAAAAAAGATTGTCAGCCTGTTAAAACTTTCAGGGCCATTTTCTATCATTGCTCAAGAAGTGATCACAGCAGCAAGGTAAAAAAGGAGAAGTTACAACTGGTGGATATACCCTCTACTTCAGAAGCTAACAGTTGTTGCAGCTCAGCTGCCTGCATGACACCTTTTCACTCAAACACCACACAGTTCAACAATAAGTAATACGTTTATTAATAAAAGAGTATATAATTGAAAAGGCAGTTTCAAAAATGAATAGAGAATAGATCAAAAGTCATTCCAAAATCAGCAGACTAAGCAATCACAAAGATACAATCAAAGACCAGACTGTAAAATTATTTTCAGTTATATCCATAAGCTTGATATTCTTGAGCATACCCAATAGCAGTGACCAACTCTGAATATAAATCCAAAATCTGAAAAGGTAAAAACAACAAACAACAGGGGTTTCAAAGCTTAAAGCAAAACTAGATCCAAAGGCTTGAAGACTTGTCCATAACTATAATCCAATGGTTTGAAACTTGAACCAAGAATTGTAGTCCAGTCAAGAGGCATTGATCTTAAACAGGAAAGCAAGATACATTACCAAAGACCAGAACCCCTAACTAAGAGCTCCCAAGACAGGTGAAGTGAACCATGAAAATCCAACATTGATCTCCCAAAGAACATTTTCTTAAAATGCTTAGGAATTCTAATTCTTACCCATGACATCACTCTTTTTCACACCTGGGTTCCCTAAGCTTATATTTCCATCTCTGCTTCACACTATCTCTTCATAACTGTAATCCTGTCTCCTCTACATTCCTTTCAGAGTCAATCCCTGGCAGATTCTCATTAGAACCACTTTCTGTTTCCCTAACAACAGATCTAACCAAAACATTCCCATCACTTTCATTTTATCTTTGCTTTGCACCCAATTTTTTTGTATAACAAATTGAGGAAGGATTTACTGCATATATTTCAGGAGAAAATTGAAATGCTCCTGTAAGTCAAGTAGGCTTGTTTCTTTTTTGTCTTCTGGGTTCTTATTTCATTTCTAAAAGCAGTAAGAGGAAGGCAGACTCTAAACCACCTGACAGAACCAGACACTTCATATCATCTTGTATTCATTCACCTGAAAAATCTAATTTATTTCTTTGTAAAGGCTAAATTTCATCTCAGTTGCAAATTACTATTGCCAAGTGTCTGCCCAGAGAACCAAATCATGATCAAGGACTTCAGTTTAGGACCCATTTTCTCAACCTTCATGGACTCTTAGAAAGGCAAATAAATGAGCTGATAACTTCAGTGGGAAATAATTTCAAGACTAGATGTTCAATAACTTTGGCTGTGTACTTTTATTATTTTAGTCCATGTTGTTCTGTGTTAACATCTTGGTGCTCAGAATCCATTGCTTATTTCCTTTTATCCATTAATGGATATACTTAAATTGCAGTTTCAAAATAAGGTTTATGTTTTTAAACCCTTATGTGCTTTTACCTATCTATTTTTTAAAATAAAAATATATAAACAATCTTGAATCTAAGCTGGAAAATAGCAGAGATATAAATAGATACCAGGAATACAATTCAGCATCTGCAGAAGGCTTGACTTTTCCGCTGTCCTTTGAAAATACAGTTTTATTTTAATGACCTGTCCACTTGAACAGTAGAAAATGTAACAGTTGTCCACAAAGTTTCTGCACTTTCATTCAACAAGTGACAAAGAACCTAAAGCTAACATTGATGTTCTGTAGCCATTGTAGTGAAAAAATTCTGCCTGAGGCAGTCGCAAGAAAACTACTGAGTTTCAACTCTCAAAGTGTGGCAAGTCCCCTATAGTCATACTACAAACCGCCACTTTCTCACTCATTTTAGAATTTCCTTGCTTCAACTGGAAGATCAGATGGAACTAGTTTCTGAAAAGTGGAAGGAAAACTAAGGTCTCAGCTGTTTCCCCTAGTACTTATTAGCAGTAATACAATTCTTAAAGGACATAATACCTAATACGATGGCCATGCACTGCTTTACACCTAAAAGACCAGACTGTAGATGCCACTTTCATGCTACATTGGTTCCCTATGGTGATCTCTCCTATTTGAAGAACATGCGTTGTTATTCAGCCAACACAATTTAGATAAAAAATGAACTACATTGAAGTAGCAGTCATATCACAACCACAGAATATTTCAGTAACTTCATCCAGAGGAGATTTGTTAAGCCACATCCTTGACAAATATTTTCATGCACATTTTAAATCAGATAATAGTAACGGTAGCTTTGTTGATGAAGCCTCTGAAGAAAAGTGCTTAGCTAATTCTCTCCTCTTCTGAGCGGGCCCAATTGAATCTCTGGTTGAGGATTCTTCTATTGAACAGGTGCTTATTGGTACTTACAGTGAAGGCTTTGTGGTATTTAAAATCCAATACCAAACCCTCTAAAGCAGTAGTTGCTCTCACTAACACATCGTATTGATACCTCAACAAGATAATCTTTTTATCCTTCCTCCTCTGGTCCCAATCACTTATATTGCTTTTACCAACTATTTATTTATTTATTTGCGTTATTTGTATACTGCCCTTCTCAACCCTGAAGGGGACTCAGGGCGGTTCACAGTGCTGGCAGCAATTCAATGCCATTGATAAAAAACAGTATAAAACATCAAAATTGACCCTCCCCTGATAAAACATTAAACATTATTGAACACATCACATAAAATAGCATCACATATCACACAAAGACATAGCATGTGTTCAACTTTGGCTATGAAATGTAATGAGGAGGATAAAATTCTAGGAGAAAGGAAATTACAAAAACATGTTTCCATGCTTTTAAATGCTAGGAGGTGTTAAGCCATTATTAGATGCTTTTGTGCTAAGCCAAAAGAAGCTTTTTGTGGAAAATAATAATGTCACATTTTTATAAGATGTGCCTTTCAGTTCATAAGATGTGAAGAAGTAGGGTCTGCTTATTATCTGGATGAACTACAGGTTATTAAATAAATAGTTAGGGAAGCTACCCAATTAAAATTACTTACAGTAATGCACCTTTGGAAAATTTTAACTTTCTATTCAGTTTATTGTGCATTTAGGTCACTATGTTTACAGTACACATGTATTTCAGATACACTTCATTATAGTTCTGCTCTTCCATAGTTGAACAATATTCTGACTTATAAATTTAGGTAAAACATGATATAGAAAATAAAGATGCCCTAATGGTATCAAATAGAATATAGTGACACTCCAGTTCTTGATTCTTACCCGAAAGTAAATTATCTTGATTTACTTGGGAACCAAGTCCCTCAAAGTGGAGTGCAGTCAGTGTCAATTGGGTAGCACCATAGGGTCAGATTCTATTTAGCAACTGTATAAACTAATTTAGAAAGAGGAGCAAGATTTATGGTTGAAGTTACTTATAAAATTGGACAAATAGTGGATCAAACTAAGGTGAGTAGACAGCTGGAGAAAGGTTTGAACAGACCTGTAAGATGAACAAATAAGCAACAAATTGAATTTAGTTTTAGAGAAACATCAACAAAGAAGTAAAGGTATGCAGCAGAACATAGAAATAAAAGACACATGTCTCTAGGGATATCAAACTTAAATAAATAGTATTCCACCTAAAAAGTGCTGAAGGTACACTGCTGCTTTGTAATGTGGACTCTGTGTATGCAGCTTTTATGCAACTGATCGCTATAAGACGACTTCCAGTATCCTGGTGGGTTTTATTTGGAACAGTGTGGTGAATTATTTTTGACATACTGTATGACCTGAATTTACACTAACACACTATTCCAAAGATGTCAAAACTCCATTTTGTCAGCACAGGTTTCTAAGCAATATGTTCCTGTTGTTATTATTTCTTGTCAAGTAGATTTTGACTATGAATGACTTTTAGGAAACCCAGTGCTCAATAGGTTTTGTAAACTCCAGACTGTGTCTTCCATTACTGAATCAATCTATCTATCATGGATTTCCTACTACCATCTACTTTACTAAGCATTATTCTTTCCCCAGGAAATCATGTTCCCTCATTTTGTGTTCAAAGTACAAGTCTCGGTGTAGCCATTAGATTTCTTATGAGAGTTCATGCTTGATTTGTTGTTAGATCCATGTATTTGTTTTTAAAGCAGTCTATGGCATCCACAGAACATTCCTCTAGCACCTTATTTCAAATTTTCCAAGTTACTCACATTTTTCTGTATATAAATTAACTTTTCATATATGTTCATCAAATACGTAAAGCAGATAGGATGTTAAAATTGAGTTTTGCTTCCCTCCTTGGTAATTGGAAACCATTCTTCTTCTCTATATTGAGTCCTGACAGTGGACTCTTCTAAGTAGAAAGTTGTGACACACTTGTTTCTTGTAGAGTAATTCATAACTTCTTATGATCTACACAATGTATGTTTTAGATTTATTCTAACATATAAATACACAGGTTGAATTTCTCCTGAAATGTTTTGATGCGTTCCAACAGACAATACATTCTTGCAGTTACTTTTCAGAACCTGGTTTGGATGTCTGAAACTTTAAACTCCATATGCTACAAAAGTCTTTGTTTAAAAATTTGAGCATTACTGTATTGTATGGAAGATTAATGCAGTTGTTTCATCATTACTATAGCCCCTAAGCTTCATTCGTTCACTTGTTCAGTGGCTCTCAGAAAAGATAATAAAGAAAAAGTTACATTTTACCATATGTGCTGGACATGCAACAAAGTAAACAACTACTGGAAACAGATTCATGTGTACTTTGAAAAGATGCCACATGTGAACTTTGAAAAAACACCACAAATGTAGCTTTTGAACATGTCAGATGAAGAACTAGAAAAAAAATTGGAAAAAAATATTTTCAGTGATAGTGGCAGCTCGAACAGTATATGATAGATACTGGAAAACCTCACAGAAAAATGGGGAAAATACATTATAGGTTTCCTAATAATGGACAAAATAACAATTAAAATGGTGTCACACTGCATTAATTCTGTAGTGTAGATGCACACTTAGGTGCTTAACACTTTTACACACTTTACATGGGGAGTCTTTCTAGCTTTGTCTTCTTGCTTGTTCTCTTTTTGGGTGGGATTAAAATCAGATTCTGCTATGATGGAGACCACGGATGCAATATTTTGTCTGTTGGAGAGGGAGGATGTGAGGGGAAAACTTTGCAATAGACTTTCCAAATTCCTGTTATGAACTTATTTTAGGGCTTCAGTAGCAAAATAGTTTAGGGAGAGTTGCTAAGTTGTTTTTTAAATATCATTTATCTTTTTCAGATTGTGTGGGGAGTGTTCTTCATCCTTGTGGCCCTGCTCTTCACCATTTCCCTCTTCTTGTCAAAGTATGCATATAGCATGTCTGATATTTTAAAAGTTGGATGTGTGATTTCACGTTTTAAGTTAAGAATCTATACTAGCCTTTTAATGTGATTTTAGTTCAGGTTTAACTTGTTGAACTATATTTGCTTGTTTCCCCCCTTTCCTCTGGTACCTTGCCACAATCAGCAGTCTTGTGGTTTGAAACTAGAACTCAACAATCAATTAAGTAAATTGAGATGTACACGTTAGTAAATAGAAGGTCAGGTTTATTTTTCCACAGAGTTTTTCCATACTGCAGTGCATAGCTCTCTGAAACAAGCAATTGCTATGCTGCATATTCAGTTCATGATAATGTTTAGGTGCATTGAAGTGTAATATTTGGTGTAAAACATGCAGAAATAGATGACAAATTAAAGAGAAATGTGCAGTTGTTTTTTGACTATAGACACATTTCTAGCAAGCCATTCCTGATTTGCTTGTAAGATGGGTGGCTAGCTGTTACCTATGAAAAAGTGACTTAGAATTTGCAAGGATTCTGAAAGCACATTAATGATTGGGAGGTATGCTATGTATATGGAGAAAAAGCATTGTTATGTAGGAAATAGCATTTGGAATGTATGTAGAAGCTTGAATTGTTGCTCCTGCAGAGCTGAAAAGATGGAATTAGTATTGTTTTGGGTAGGTCAAGTATACTGAATAAATAATACAGATTTTTCCCCAAAATAATGATATTAAGCTTAAGAGTATAAAGTTTTCTATGAATAGATATGTAAATGATTGCAGAGAGAAAGAGAGAAAATAAATCAAAATTTATTTCTGATATTACTGCAGCCTGGATAAGGCCCTGCATTCAGCTGGGATAGATTCTGGATTTGTGATCCTAGGAACTAATTTGACCAACCCACTGAATATGCTGTTACCAGTTCTACAGACTGTAAGTAAAAGATAATGGGACGTGATAGGAAAATATTGCTGGGAGGGGCTAGTTGTTACTACCATGAAACTTCTGAAGTTGAATTCCGCAGTAAAGGGCTTATATTTAATTTTTAATACTTCCAAACATGTGTTATTTAAAAAAACATTGAGGACAGTGATTTCTGTTTTAGTACATCAGTAAGTATAACCTGGTACACTACGTTTCAAATGTTTGTTTCTTGGTTTTATGCTTCTTATGGGGCTTATGCAGACGTTCCACTCTACTTTGGCTGTTCCACATTTTATTGTGTCACAACCTGTAATTGAAATTGATTTAATTATCATTGTTACCTCTTGATGTACCCAAAATGCTCAATACTATAAAGATCGATAATATTACTAAGGTGGAAGAAAAAACTAAATAAATAAAAGAAATTTATGTTTGTTGAGTATGGTGTATATGTGAAGTGGCTATTAAATCAATTCCAGGTTGTTTAGATAAAATGTGGAAGAGCTGACCACAATGAATACTTCTGCAAGAAATTACAGATTTCCTATTGTGTGTTTTGTGATAGTATACCACTTGGGTATTATTTTCTGATAAATAATATAGGAATTCTGCGTTCTGAAAAATAACAAGGACTTAGTAGATTTCATTGAGCAACATGTTAGAAAATTTTATGTTTATAAATTGACCAGAATGCATTCTTCTCATTTCAGACATGAAATTTGTAGATATGTTTAATTCCTTCTTATTTTCATCTAGATAAAAGAAAAATGTTGGAATATCTTCAGAGCATGCTTTTTGACATTAGATATTTCTTTTGTTAAATGCAATGATCATCCTAAGCCATTTTGTTTCTTCCACATAGAGTGGACCAAATGAATTAATATAAATAATAATCTGATAAATCTACACTTATACCAAATTCAGTGGGTCTCTTATAGCTGGAAGTAACAATAAAAAGGACATATAAGTACTAAAATGTTTCTTTTTTCAAATTTGCATTCTGTTGCTAGACAACTCTGTGACTGTAAGACATTCTATATTTTCCTTTTTTTGTCTTTTAATATAAAAATGCAATGAAACCAAGATGTTTATAATGACAGTTATTTTACCATTGATGTTTTATTTCAGATTTAGTCATAAGTAATATTTTTGTCTTATTAACCCTACATTTTGTTAAATTTTAGGTGTTCCCCCTTGATTATATCCTTATTACAACTATCATCATGTACTTTATCTTCACCTCAATGGCAGGAATTCGAAACATGGGAATATGGTTCTTCTGGATAAGGGTAAATAATTGTTGTCCTTCTTTATATTTTGCCTAGTTTCACGAAACACAATATGTAGTAAAAATTCTGTTCAATAAATATGTTCTCAGTTTATATAAATTAGAATATAAAAATATGTACAGAAAATTCATGGAACTATGTATGGTAACCAGATTACTACTGTATTGTACACTTTAAGACAACAATATACAAAGGGATATTGTAACACCTTTGAGACTGAGATGAAGTTGTTTGTGGCATATGTTTTCATAGACTGAGTTTGCTCTATTACATGTCAAAGTTTATGCTACAAATGTCTCTCATTCAGTCTCAAAAGGCGCTGCAGTATCCCTTTGCACACTGATCCAGACTAACGTTTCTGTGTCGTTGAATCAAGTCAAACTAATTATTATTCTTTTGCATTTGTATAAAATAACTATCTGTTTGTGTTTCATTCGTAAGATCCCATTTTCATTTTCGAGCGCTTCTCCTGAAAATGGGTGACTTTCCAAATGAGCTTTTTTGTCCAAGGTCTGAAAGAACTAATATTTTTGTCCCATTGGCCACAGTGTGTGGGCTTCTCACACTCCCCTTCCCCTCAGTTTTAGGGCTAGCGTTCGGCACTTGGCTAAAGGCCCTGGCAGGCGCTAGTGCTTTGGGCCTGCCCGCCACACATGCACCGTCCTTGGAAAGAGTGTTTGTGTGGTGAGCAGGCCCAAAATGCCCGCACCAGCCAGGGCCTGCATCCAAGAACCAAGTACAAGGCAGTTTATTTATTAATAGATTTTGGGAAGGAGACTGCTCCCAGAGGCGGTTGACACATGCCACACAGGACCGGAGGCTTCATCAAACGTAATTAAAAGCTGCAGGAGGGGGTTTGGTTTGGTTAAGTTGCAGAGTTGTGGTTGCTTTCCTGCCCAGGAGGGGGAAACTTCTCAAAGCACAAGAAATTTCCTAACTCACAAAGCCTACTGTGCAGCACTCCCCTGTTTTTACGAAAAGGGGGGATCTGCTCTAGCCACAGTTACGGAGGGAGAAAGCCATGGTTATGAAAGGGAAGGGGTCACCCGAGAAGCAACCTAGTTGTTGTGCTCCTTCTCTTTAATGTTTGTTACCTTGATCTAAAAATCGACAGGAGGACACTCAAACATGTCTCTGCTGAGGAGGAGAAAGCACAGGCACCAGGAAGTTCTCAGCTGACTTTCTTTTTCCTGTGCTGCCTTCCTTCCTATTCTTCCCCGCCCGGCCCACCATGGCCCTCTCCTTTGGGGGCACCTTCTACGCAATGGCCTCTGAAGGCAAGGTGGGCATAGCCCTCTGCAAAGCCCACATGGGGTTGCTCACTTTTACATTTCAGCTTAATTTTTTGAAAAATAATCACAAAGTTGATTCTGTCTCATTTCCCCGGCAACGTTTTTTTACATATTCCTAGAGCATTACATATTAGCCTTCAGCTGCTATCTCAGCACTCACTAACTTGTATTCCTTCAGGTGCTCTCTGATTTTGATAGCCTAATCTCATTTCGTCCCCAGAGAACTGTTAGTACTGTGTTCTTAAAATTTAATGGAAGCTATCTGCCCATCATGAATCTGTACAACTTCATACTCTCCCAACTACTGCTAGTGATCTTGTCTAGTAGAAAAATGTAGCTATAATGCCAAGCTCTTATCTCAGTTATACCATAAGATTTCTCTCTGTCTGAGCAATCAGTCTTCAGAAAAGAGAAAATGTTAACACATACAAGTGGACTAAACTTTTGATTACGATATTGAAAAATTAAAGCATTAGTTCTTGTATTTCTTCCATGCTTTGGAAAATCAAGCTTCCTTGTCCTCTCAAAAGACTGTCAGTTCTCCTCCGTTGTAGTATTCTGGAACAAATATTGAGAGCATCCATGTGGAATTGCCTCCTCTGCCTTTAGCCTGGAGTATGTCCTGAGTAACTTAGAGACCAATTTGTATGAAGAAGATGAAAGGAACTCGCTGTGTTTAACCTGGAAAAGAGACATTGAAGACGCAATATGAAAACCATTTTCAAATAATTGAAGGGCTGTCACCTAGCTGATGGAAGAAATGTGTTTTCTGTTGCTTCAGAGCGACCTGAACCAGCAAGTTCACATAACAAAAAAGAGGATTTTGACTTTATATTAGGATGCTCTTTCTGATGGTATGACCTGTGTGACAGTGGAACAGATTACTTCAGAAAGTGATTGACTTTTCTTTGTTAATGGTTTTTAAACAGAGTGGGATGTTCATTTACTAGAAATGCCTTTGATAGAAGTCCCTTCCAGCTATTTAGTTTCATCTTCCTAGGAAATACGAGAAAAGTGTGTAATAAAATTATTTAATGGACTCCTTACCTGCAGCGATAAAAAATTAACTAAAAGTATCATACATCTCTTCTTATATTTGTTGCCCCCCCCCCCCACACACACACACAATTTGTCTTTATGGATCCCAGACCTTATTTGTGCTTACCTGTAAAATATAGAGGTTTCCTCATTAAGGTCCTATGTACAAATACTACTTCAGGCTTATTAAGTTAGTAGTAGATGGAAAGAGAGTCGGCACTATTTAGTTGTTTGAGCATTCAACTATAACTGTGGAGAACAGGGTTCGAATTCCCACTTAAGTCTTGGGCAAGACACACACTCTCAGCTTCAGAGGAAGCCAAAGGCAAATCCTTTCTGAACAAATTTTGCCTAGGAATCCCTGTCATAAGGTTGTCATAGGATAGCTTTAATGATTTGGAAATGACTTGAAGACACATAACAGCGATCATAAAGGCGTGTAAGCTCCCTTTAACCTTGGTAAGATAGCATAGATATATTTTTAAAACAAATATCCCATTCTAAAAGTCATTTTTGGTAAAATTCAGGTTTGAATTTGAAGCCTAGCTCATACTAGCAATTTTGCTTTTAGCTATACAAGATCAGACGGGGGCGGACTCGACCTCAAGCACTTCTTTTCCTGTGTATGATACTTCTGTTGATTGTTCTTCACACGAACTACATGATCTACAGTTTGGCCCCTCAATATGTTATGTATGGGAGCCAAAAGTATTTAATGCAGGTAAGATTTCCTTTGTGGGACAAGGGGGGAGTGAATTATAAACATAGATTCTTTGGATGTGAGCACTCATGCCACCAGGACAACACCCTGAGGAATATCCTTAACTTGCTTGCTAAAAGCGTAGGATGAAGGGATTTCCACAGAACTTGGAATAGAACTGGCCCATAATATTATGTCGTTGTTCAACTTGTTTCTGGCAGTTCAGTCATACCATTAATTGAATGGAATCCCAAGTTTGGCCTATACTTGAAGGCATTGGGTTCATTTTAAGTGCCAGCAACTCAAAGCAGTCTGCACTTTGTGCTAATACAGTAAATTAGAAATCTGCAATGAGGCTGCCCAAATTCTGGGCTTGTATAACTCTGTGTTTTTAGGGTATTTCTCATAATTTATTTTTTCTGCTATTATGAAAATAGCTTTGGCCTGATGCAAATAATTGTATTAATTAATGTTTCTTAACATAATCCAGTGTGTGACTGTGCACTTTACTGAGTATCTCTGCAAACATAAGGACTGCTGCATACTTTTTGTTGGAGAAGCAGGCAACTTTTAGGGCTATGTAGACTCACCAAACCTATCACTGCCACCACAGTTTGTTGATGTGATAGAAAAAATATATTTCTTCTTACAAACAAAGCAGATTGAGATTCTGTGCCTTGTTTGAAGCCAGATTGTACTGCTGGGGACATGAGTCAGCTTCATGGCATGTGCTGTTAATGCACATTGTTGGAATTTGAAAGTACGGGTTTTGTGAAAAAGGTGTTGGCAAAGCTCAAACTTGGGCAGAGTGTATGTGATTCCTGGAACCCATGTTTACCTGTCTCGGCCCTTTAGGAATGATTTGGGAATAGTTGTAAAACAAATCCCATCTTGCTTAGGAAATGTGTATACATATGAAGCTTGCAGTATGTTATATCATACTGAACCATGCAGGTATTTTTGGAATGCTAATAAGTGATAAACACAATTGAATACACAAGCACCCTTTAGGGACAAGTTGGTGCAAAAGATATGTTCAAGCATATGTATGGTTGGACAAAAAACAAATAAATGGGTGCATATGGAAAATGTGAAAGAATAATCTGGAGAGACCCTTCGCTCTATCCTACTACTTTCAGACACTCGTGTTTTGGGAACAAGGGATAGGGCCTTCTTTGAGATTACTCCCAGACTTCAGCCTTTGGTCTCCTTTCAGTGTTCATTTTATTTCATTTTTAATTTTCATTTTTTCTATTGTTTTTAATTTGCAGTGTTTTAAATGTGCTGTTAGCTGGAGGTCCTTGCTAATTTCTAGACATCATACTTCTCTGTAAGTGTCCTTGGTCCTCCAGTGTGACTCTGGTAACTTCCAGCTGAAGTTGTTCATTTTGATAGGGCTTGCTATTTATTACACTGGCCAACACACATTTTGGTGCCTCAAATGTGAGCCCTTTTTCTGGGTGTATCTGACTTGCTGATTCCAAAATAGCACTTTCTTTTCCCACTTCTAGTTTTTGATATTCAGAACATCTACCAGTCGCCATCTTCATGCCCAAAACAAATCATGATAACCATATCTTAGAAACTGGAGCTGGTGTGGTCTATCCAGTGCAATTTTCTGAATCAGCACCCCAAATAACCCCAGGAACACAGTATGTTTGGAACCATATCCTGTGTGGATATGTGTGTGGTACTGTAGATAATTTCTGAAGTGCATTTCCAATGTAAAATGCTGACATGGATTGCAATGGCAATATAGTTCTGCTGACTAGACATAATTCACGTATCTTTTTCAAAGGCAAATCAGAGGGATCTCCCGTGGCCAGAATAAAGTAGACGATGAAGCTATAGCAATGATATTAGTACTGTTATATGATTGATCTTCAGTGAATATGTTTTTATGCAGAATAACGTGACTGTTGATGGCCACCTGACAAATACAACAACATGGGCAGCTAAAGTTTGCGATGCAGATGCTCCTGAAGGTAAGACAGCTCATATTGAGCTCCATTTCAGGATCAGAAATAAGCTACATAATGTCATTGCATTAAAGCCTCAAAAAGTTGACTTAATTAAGCCAAATCCTATCATAGTATCTTTAATAGAGAAAATATTAAGAGATGGCCGTATTGGTCATGTAGCAAAGTAAAACAAAATCCACAAAAAAGGGATAACTTTATTGGCCACCCAAAATACATAAATGCTTCATACAAGCTTTCAAAACTCAATTGGCTTCTTCATCAGACAAAAGGTGTTTAAAAATCATACATGAGAAGAAAAGTGACTGTGGGTTGCTGTGAGTTTTCCGGGATATATTGCCATGTTCCAGAAGCATTCTCTCCTGATGTTTTGCCCACATCTATGGAAGGCAACCTTAGAGGTTGTGAGGTTTGTTGGAAACTAGGCGAGATTTATATATCTGTGGAAGGTCTAGGATGGGAGAAAGAACCCTTGTCTGCTTGAAGCTTTGAAGCTACAAGGCCATTAAATGCTAATCAAGGTGGCCGATTTCAACATTCACACTTGCCTAGTTTCTAGCAAACCTCAGAATCTCTGAGGGTGCCTGCCATAGATGTGGGCTAAATGTCAGGAGAGAATGCTTCTGAAACATGGCCAGACAGCCCAGAAAACTCACAGCAACCCAGTGATTCCGGCCATGAAAGCCTTCGACAATACAAAAGTGACTGTGTTTGATTCACAGGCCTACATTTTGTATCAGATACTGTTTCTGTTGTTCTTCAGTTCTGATAAAAAAAAATGTCAGCCTGTGATAACATCAGATACAAAATCTAGACTTGTGATTCCAGCCTAGTTGTTTTTCTTCTCCTGTATGTTTTTAAACATAATTTCTGGATGGAGAAGCCAATAGAGCTACAAAAGCTCACATAAAGTGTTGTGTGCATTGTGCTTTGCCAATAATGATATCACTGTTTTCTGGAATTTTCTATATTTTTCGTAGAGAAGTGCCTTAATGTGATTCATTTCTACTAATAGATGTCAGAATTTAAAGCAGAGTAAATGTTATCTTTTTTGTCTTTCATATAATTCATTTGCAAAATGAGACACCTGGTATAGATTGAAGGCAAATTAGACAATTGCGTGGCTTTTGGAAACAAAACAAAAGTACTATTATTATGACTGGTGAGGCATCTTCCTATTTTGAAAGGTTGGTCTAGTGTCCATTGTTCTCAAATAAATTGTCAGCTTGTACTACTTATCATTTAAAATATTTGACATTCATGCCTTTAAATATTTTTCTAAGAAGATAAAAGGCATAATTTGTTCTCATTCGTGCTGGCAGACTTGTGAACACAGTACATCCCACTGCAGAAGTCCTGCTGTTGTCAATTGATAACTTCTCTAATGCTACACCATGTATTTCTATGTAACAAACAGGCAATTCTTTGATGTAGGTGTATAAAGGTGCTAAGTCTGAGCCATCATAATTATTTTGAAGGCTGTGTACCAAATGTGTGAAATAACTAAGGAAATTTCTGGAAAAGATGCAACTTGTTCTTTGAAAGTCCTCTTTTATGTGAAAATGAGATTGCAAACTTAGAAGATGAGAAAGATAAAATTGGGTGGTCGTTAAATTATCATCAGGAACTCCGTTTTTCTGTCTCTGTTCCTTTCAGAAAAACAACTCTTCTAAAATTGTTACTTTGCTTCTTTTTTTCTTCATTCTAGGAGTAGGTTTTTAATACGGGGCAGTTTTTACTGAAGAGGCATAGTTTTTCTTGTATCCTATCCTGCAGTTGTGGTACAGTAGAGTCTCGCTTATCCAGTCTATCCCACATTCTATATTATCCAACGCAGTCTGCCTCCCACCCGGATCCACAGCTGTTTCAATACATTGAGATGTTTTGGTACTAAATTTGTAAATACAGTAATTACTATATAAAGTTACCATGTATTGAACTGCTTTTTCTGTCAATTTGTTGTAAAACATGATTTTTGGTGCTTAATTTGTGAAATCATAATGTAATTTGACATTTAATAGGCTTTTCCTTAATCCCTCCTTAGTATCCAACATTTTTGCTTGTCCAGTGTTGTGCCGACCCATTTATGTTGGATAAGCAAGACTCTACTGTACTTATAAAATTGTTGTCATCCCTTAATCCATACAGGTGATTGCCTCTCCATACAGCCAGGGACTGTTTCTTTTTTCTTTTTTTTTTTAAGTACAATTGAAAAAAAGTTTTATATAAACATTGGACTTAATGGAGCTAAAACCACATTACTATAAAATTAATGGAATTTCTTCTATAAGATTATTGTGGTTTCTTGGTTTATTTGCTTATTTTGTGCTTGCAATCATGGAACAGAAATGATAATTTGGTAATTAATTGGTCCACTTATTACCCATCAGCCTTTGAGAAGAAATGAAACATTGCTGATATGAATGAACATTTAATAAAAGAACTGACACTCTATAATCAATTTATAATTTATTGTTTTGGCTGTAACTATTTTTGCAGCTAGAATTTATTCATCTTAAACATTATTGATACACTCTGCTGCTATATATTATAGTCATTCAGTGGGGCTTTATTTGCATTCTTTCACCATTCCTGGTTTGGATAAAAAATGTTTTTGCCTACTTGGTAATACTGTCAGGAGGGCATTTGAAATAAAGGCATTTTTGACATGATTGCACTTGACTTCCAGTTCCTATAGAAGACTTAATAAAGGAATGACTGAGTGAGAGATGTTGTTATGGTTACTAAACTTCTAAAAATAAGCTCTTGGGTAGGGCCTCTTAAAAATTTTTCACTAGTGACCGCTTTTCACCCAAGAATTTTTTACAAATATATAGGTATATAATATAAGTATACAAATCAAACATTCACTGACAATAAATGATAAATAAATTTGTATTTTGAAACAATTCTTTGGTATACATATAATTTTACCATTTCTTAAAGATGAAAAACAATGCATACTAACGAGATGGATGTACCTGTATCTTCACATGAAGTTTCAAATCTTGACTGAATATTTGAGACTGCAGTATGTGAAGTGTCTTCAACATTTTTCATGGCATGCTGGCATGCTTGGTTTGCAGTCTCACAAGGCAGAATATACTCTGTTGGCTCTCCTTTTTTCTCTCCTGAATTGGGGGCCTGCAGTGGGGTGTTTCAAAGGTCCATACCTCCAGTTTAAGAGGTCCCAGGTTGCATAGTGGGTTTGTGTGCCTGAAATGGACCTATGCCCAGCTCACTCTTGTTCCCATCATGGCCTGTTCACATATATCTAGGCAATCCATATCCTCCCCCCCCCCCCCAAAGCAAACTGGTGGTATTAACCCACAGCTGCAGGCAAATTCTTGAACTTTTAATAGCAGACAACCAAAGTATTATATTCATTTGAGTGTGGTGTATGAAACCAACTTAGTGTATTAGAATCAGAATTTGAAGGGATATATTTCTGAAACTGAAAAGATAGCCATCAAGCAAAATCAGCATTTGCAAAGCTTGCTAAAGAAGGCAGGCTGGTTTCCTTTTAAAAAAAATAAAGTACATCTGAAGTATTTGCTGCTTGTTCATATAAATGTCGAAAACAGCCATTAGATGGCAAGCTACACAAATTTTTCACAACTCCCTTATTCAGTTAGGGGACCCCAAATGGGGTGGCAACCCATAGTTTGAGAAGCTTTGCTCTAGAGCAGGTGTTTTCAACCCTTGGCCCTCCAGGTGTTTGTGCTTCCAACTCCCAGAAACTCTAACCAGCTTGTTCAACAGTCAGGAATTCTGGGAGCTGTAGTCCAATACACCTGGAAGGTCACAGGTTGAAGAGTCCTCTAGAATATAAGAGCTGTGCTGGGTCATACCAAAGGCCTATGTACAGCATCCAGCTTTCCACATTATTAGCTTATTGCTAATAGAGTTTCCAAACAACTGGTATTCAGAATGCTGCCTCTATCTTGCAAGCAGAATGTAGGCATGATAGCCTTATCTCCTGTTAACTTTTTTCACCTTTAAAGCTGTCTTGAGTTGGCTATCACACAATTATTTGGTAGCAGATCCCATAGTTCAACTGTATTCTGGGTGAGCATTTAATTTGATCTGTTTTTTATTCCCAGCTATCATTTTGGTTGGATGAGGATTTTATAGGTGGGGAAAAAAAACATCCCTGCCTTCTTTCTCCAAGTCATAAATGATTTTATGCAGCTATGATATGCCCCCTCCCCCTATACACGCTTATTACCAATCTAAAAAATATCGCACATTTACTCCTCTGAGAGTTTCCAGTCTTCTGATTATTTTGGTTCCCTTTTCTTATTTTTCCCATCTCAAATATAGCCTTTTTGAGAATCAGTGAACAGAACAGTGCAGAGCACTGAAAATGTGATTGCAACATAGATTTGTATAAGGGTATTATGATACTGGCAATTTTATATTTCATTCTGTTCCTAATGACACATGGAATGAAATTTTTCTGCAACTGTACAGTTTGTTGACATTTTCATTGCATAATCTACCACGACCCTTGTTTGGTTATGTACTGTCACTTCACATCCCATCAGCAAAGTTAGGATTCTCTGCCACAATATTCAGTACGCTGACTTCCATCTAACAACCATTTTATTGTTCATTATCCAGTTTAGCCTCTGTTGAAACTCCCATAATCCCTTTTCATTTTTACTACCATGAATAATTTGATACTATCTGCAAACCTGGCCACCTTGGTGCTCGCTTACAATTCATTTATGAACAAGTGAGACTTCATGCTTTCTTTGCCTAGAAATTGTTGTGATAGATCTACCAGGGAAATTAAGTAGTCTATAATTTCCGGAATGCGTTTAAAAAATAATTTTAAATAGACTGTATATGAATTCTCTGGTACGAATGCCAATCTTATGGGTGATACTATTCTCTTAAATGTCTGTTATATCTTGCGTGACCATCCAGACTTGACTTATTTTCTTATGCTTTAATTTCTCAGTAGGGACTGAAACTTCATCCCTTGTGAGTGTTACATTTGG